CTGCCCCCACGCAGAACTTTCTACCAATGAGCCTTGGGGCAAAGCGTCTCTTGGGCAGGGGCGAAGCTGGTATAAGAGAGCCGTTTGGCTGGCCAGAGGGAGCCCGGCTTCAGCACCATGGCCAGCGCCAGGGTGCCTTCCCTCTGCTTCGGGTGCTGCCTGCTCTTACTCCTGGGAGCCTGTGAGGAATCGGCTCAGATCCGGGGTGGCGGGGCCAGCGCCCTCCGGGAAAGCCAAGAGGAAGAAGCCATGGTAAGAGGGTGGGCGGGTGGGTAGAGGTAGGCAGCTGTGGGTGTTTAAGTAAACCTCGGGGACCGGAGAGGCAAATGGTCTGTTCCTTCTTTCGCTTCAAAGGCGGGCCCGTTTTAGGGCCAGAGGGGAGGCAGCTGCCTCAGGCGGCAAGGTTTGGGTGTCGCACACCGTGGACGAGGGAGTGAGCTGTCCCAGTCTTTTTTGCAGTGTCTCTCTGGCACACACCCTTCCTCTTCTCTCTCTCGTGCCACATCGGAGACTTGTGGCTGCATGAAATATTACAGGTCGGAGACTCCCTGTAAGCACGGCCCCTGGGTGCGGGAAGCAGTGGGTGGCCAGCTTTCTGCCCGCAGCGACACCCATTGCCCTGCTCTGGCTGGCAGTCACTCTCCCCGCGCACTTGTCAGCTCTCAAAGCCCAGGATGTTCAGCCGGGCGCTGCCTGGCTCTCTGAGGTGACCCATGGCTCTCCATTTGCAGCTCGGAGCCCTGCAGGATGTCTTGGAGAAGCTGAGGGACCGGTGCCTACCTGCCATCGAGAAGAAGTTGAGCTGGGTGCCTTCGGTAAGCCTGCAGGGATGGGAGAGAGCAGCAAATCCTGGGCCGTGCTTCGAACTCGCTGCTGGGCTTGAGGAACTGGGGGGGCAGTGAGTAGTAAGAAAGACACACATCCCGGAGAGGCCTCAAAGGAGGGGGCAGTAGCTTTCCAGAGAGAAGTGCTTCTCCTTCCCACTTCCAGATTAAAATGCATTGCAATGCAATGGTGAAAAACTAATTTTGGGGGGTTGGGGGGGCTAACTCTCCTGTAAGTCTCCAGGGAGTGGTTTTAAACTCAGAAGGTCCAGACTCAAGGCCTGGCTAGCCTTCGGTTGGGTGGTCAAATCGTTCCCTCTGGCTGACTTTTAAAGATTGTGAGCCAGTCCTCATCTTAGAACTGTAAAGCTGGAAGGGACCCTCAAGATCATCCAGTCCAGCCCCCGTCCAGGAGGCATGGTGGGGAATCAAACTCCCAACCTTGGGCTCTGCAGCCCAGAGACCTCGGCTCCTGAGCTCTCGAGCCGATAACCAGAAATGAAATGGACCAAAAAGTTGTATCCCCTAACCTCAGAGAATGGTAGCAGCAGGATCCCTCTGCTTCACCGTTCGCAGAAAAAAACCTGATACTTCTTCCCTGCTTTTGCAGTGCGATGCTGGTGAACACTGTGCTGTGCGGAAGGGCTCCCGGATCGGCCGGCTCTGCAACTGCCCGCGGGGGATGTCCTGCAACCTATACATCCTGAAGTGCTTGTGAGGAAGACCTCGGGATGGGGGCCAGGAGGGGTTCCTGGAGGACAGGTGATGATGGGAAGCTCCCCTTTTGGGCAAAGGGAGGGGGTGGGTGGGTTCAAGAAGCCACACTGGTCCCTGGAGCGAAAGAGAAGCCCCATTGAACAGGCTGTGGGATCAAGGTTGGAGGTGCTTGTACCTAGATTTACTTCCAAATAGTGAAGATCTATAGATAGGACATGTTTGTGGCTTGATGGAGGGTGGGTGGGTGGGAGTAGCAGTCCCCCAAATCAAAAAATAAATCTAGTAAGACATCACGTGCACGAGACTTAGCCCACTGTGGTTGTACGACACCTATCTTTTATTTCTATGGTGCCCTGTCTCGTGTCCCAGTGTTTGGAAAGAGGTAGAGTATTTCAATAATTCAGCTAATACTGTATTTTTCCATGTATAAGACTATACTTTTGCCTAAAATCATTAGAATAAAAATTGATGGTCATCTTATACACGGAAGTAAGCTGAGGAGAGAACAAAAACAAGTGGAAGGGAAAGCAGGGATCAAAGAGATCCTGCAGGACTTTGATCCCTTTCCCTCTACACTTGCTTACTTTTGGGTTAGAAAAAAGGGGGGTGTCTTATACATGAGGGCGTCTTATACACTGAAAAATATGGTATTTTTTAAAGTCTAGAAGACTTAGCAGCAGGAGTAGCCAAACCTAGACCAGAGGGGACGTGGCACAGACCTCCCCTAACCGTCCCTTTGTCTCTTCCCAGGTGGAGGGAATGGCTCAGGTTTTCTTTCCTCCCTGGCCAAAAACCCTTTCCTTGGTCTCAAGATGTCTCCAGTGGGTGGCGGCCGAGGGTCGCTCGGATCCTTCAGCCCTCGGTGCACAAGACGCAAGGAGAGAAAATAAAAAAATAAAAAGAACCGGGCTGTGCTAGAGAGTGTTTGTTGAGGCTGAAACTGACGTGCTTGCTCAAAGCAGGAGGCAAGTGAGGGGATGAGAAGGGTCCTTTGGAACCAGACTTAGGACATTTTCCAGTCCCCAGGTAAAAGAGCGTCAAACCTCCCATTTAAAAATCAGATTGGTTGCCCTTTTGGAGTGGAAGCAGGGAGAGAATGAGAGGGGCCGGGAGCCCACCTGCAAGGGGATCCCCTCTGACCCCTGTCTCAGACCTATTTTCCTCAATGCAGGGGCCAAAACCACCACCCCCACCCCCCTCAGCAGCTGCTGGAGGAGGGAAAACCCCCAGCGTTCCTCAACATCACTGAGGCTGAATTCCCCCGGCCGGCAGCCCCTAAATGGCCAATACGGAAGGGGAGCACAGCCTCCTTTTCGTTAAGAAGCCAAAGCCGGTGACTTTGCAAACACGACGGCATGGAAGCTCCAGGGACCCAAACCCACGCCTGCCTCACACTTTTTAGTTCGGCCTCTCCTCCCCACGCAGAGACCCGCCACGTCCGAGAAAGCACAGAGGAGCCGCTTGCCTGGGATGGCCATCGTTTTATTTCCTTATGCGGAGGAAAGGGCCCGTCCCTCTCCCGGGCCGCCTCTCCCCCAACGCCTCTGAAGAACCACTGAGGCCATTGTCGCCACGGCCAGCAGGGCAACCACGCCGGCAACCAGCGACAAGGCGTCGTCCCACTGCATCCGGCCTTCCTGGAGCATCCCGGACCCTGTGTGTGTGGGGGGGCAACAATGGGGAGATAGCGGGAGAAGGGAGAGCAGGCTTGTGAGAGGACGGCGAACTCGGGAAGAGAATCCGCTCGCCCCCCTTTTGTGGATCTGTAGGGGGAGAGGTCTCTGCCCCACTCTGCCTGCATCAAGAGCGAGGGGCTTAGGAAACTGGGAAGAGAGAGAAGGGGCGGCGGGGGTGGGGAGACATGCAGAGCAACAGATCTTCGCCTTGGCCCCTTACCTGAGGGAATCAACCCCTCCGCAGCGTGGTGAAAGAAGGCCACCGGCCCCCGGGAGGTGACGAGCGTCCACCATTCCTCCGGCTGAGAGGAGCCCTCCGCTGATCTTCGGCCTGGATCCAGAGAAGGAGGAGAGAAGCGGTCCCGGATCGGGGTTCAGAAGATGACCCCAGTCACTGCTGAGGCTGGCATACCCGCCCACCCAACGCCATGGCAGGATATTTGACCTGGAGATCGGGTGGGACTGGGAGGGGGGAGTCACACTCGGACAGCCAGTCATGCTGGGTACTGGCTGGACCCTTCATCCCCCACCCCGTTCAGTAGTGCCAATGGGAGGTGTAGCCCTTGAGCGGAAAGGGTTCTCCCCCCACCCCCGTTTTGGTTCTGAACACAGACCTCCCCGGCCGTGGGATCATGCGAAAAGCGGTTCCCCCCCCCAAAAAAAAACCCGTCCCAGGGGAGGAGGAGAGGTCCAAGACGTTGAGGGAGGCCTGTCTTGAGCCTGTGGCTGGAGCAGCATCCTGACCAGTTCTCCCCCCCCCCAAAATAAATAAACGAAGAGAGATTCACTTCTCCACTGGGCGGTGGCATCACAGGGAAGGTGACAGCTTTCCTGCCCGGAAGGAACACAGGCCGAGGCGCTGCAGTGGAAGTACACCTGAAATTTGGAGGGAGAGAAAAGAGCTTGGGTTTAGGGGCAGAATCCATAACGCAGAATTACACCCAACTCTCCTCGATTCCCCTTGAGATTCAAGAGCAGGATCCACTCCCAGGAGAAAGCGGGCACCTATGGCTGGCATCTCTCAGCGCGCTCCCCCAAGGCCGTCCAGAAATCTCCCCCCACCCCGGGATTGCCACCTTGAGGACATCCCACTCCTGAGGGGACGAAGAGTCAAGACAGCAGCCGCCCTACCGGCCCGGTGAGCATCCTCCGGGAGGCATCATCCACGAACGTGAAGGTGCTCACGACAAAGCGCTGATAGTGGGAAGGAAATGGCAGGCCCACGTCCGCCCCGACTGGCACTCGACGGGTTTGGTAGTTGTCTCCTCTGTACGGGCACCTGGCAGGAAAATCGGGCAACTCAGGCGGTCCGCCGGGAACTCCACGACAAGGGGCCGCACAAGACATCTTTCTCAATGACGAGGAGGAAACAAACATACAAAAACTCCCGCCAAGTTTCTAGCTCTCATGGCTGCCGAGGAATACCAGCAGAAAGGAGCAGCTAGCCAGTAACCCGCCTCCCGGCGCTCCAGACATTTTGGGCTCGGTTCCCCAGCCAGCTTGGGGGGGGGCGGTTGCCCCTGCTCACCCGGCCTCCAGAAGGGACCAGTCTGGTTTCTGCAGGGGGTTGGCGCTCGGGGTGGCCCAGCAGTCGTGAAGGAGCAAAACCAGGGCCGGATCCTCCCTCCCGAGCAGACGGACCTCAAGGTGGACGGGCTCCCGGAGGACTTTCACCACAGGGTAGTCGGCGTCGGCAAAATAGGAGGTGTATGTCTCATCTGGAGTTTTGGGAGGGAGGGAAAGAGGCCGTTTGGACCGGCCGAGGGCCCACCCCTGCGCCGGTCTGGCCGTTTGAACCCCACCCCCCCTGTCATGGCCAGGATTGCACCCGGAGGAGCTCTGCAACAGGGTGTTCAGAAACAGAAACCCAGGCTCTTGGAGAGAGGCCCCCAAAACAGAGCAAAGGATCCAGAACCAGAGAGGTTTGGCACCCAGAGGGTAGCTTCTGCTTGTCCGTGGTGGGGTGTGTTTGCCGGCCCTTCGCCCACCTTGAGCGATCCTCATCTCCAGGGTAAGGGGTCCTCGTTGGGCGATGGCCGCCGGAGGAGGGAGCGCGGCCACCTGGACACCAAGGGGCAGAGAGTCCTCCGCCGAGTAGCTGCAGCGGACCGTCAGCCTGTGGGCAAGTGGGAGACGGACGCACAGAAGGACGTGGGTGGGTTGGGGCCGAGCTCCATCTCCCCCACCGACACTGCCCAGCCCCCCCCCATGTCGGGGAGGATTTTGAATGGATTTTGCAAGCTTCTTTTATCATAAGGTTGATTTTGAAAGAAACCCAAAAGAGGAAGCCATTTGGCCCCACGGTGAACAAAAGGAACCAAAGCCCATCGCTCTTCAAACGCAGCGAAGGAGGACAGAGAAGGAGTTACTCTTGAAAAGCAACTTTGCAGGCCCCAGCTGTTCTTGCATCCAAGCACTACCACCATTGGGGAGGGGGGTCCTGGAGGACTGCCCCCCCGGCTTCCCCCTCCCTCCCTCTCACTCCTGGCCTATCATCACCTAAATTCACTGTCGCGAGTGATGGATCCAGACTGAGAGATCATGACCTCCCTGTCGGCCAGTAGCTCGTTCTCGTACACACGTTGGCTTCCCATTTCCTGGACAGGAAAAGAAGCATGCCGAGGCGTTTAGGTTCGGAGGGTCGCTGATACCAGGCGCCCGCTCCGGGTTTTAGCCCACCTGCGCTGGCTTAGGATCTCAAAGGGTGGAGAGTTCAAGTCCAGCCACCCCCTTCCACCTTCCCTTCCCCTCACCTTGAAGGTCGTCCCACAGGCCGAGAGAGGGAACTGGAACAAGGTGAACATGGGGGTCCTGGAAATGGGGAGGCAACCCGCCTGTCCCTGGCTGCTCACGAGGTGCACCGAATCCAAGCGCAGGGGTGGGAAGGTCGCGTTCCGGGAGATGGCGACGGAAAAGCGGCCATCCGGGGTGCAGTGGGCGGTCACTGGGGGCCCGAGAGGACAGAGAAGGCAGGCAAGTGGGGAAACCCATCTCTCCAGCCTAAATGGGCCGTTTCTCTTTCCCCCCTCACCCCGTCCTCCATCATATTCTGGAAAGAGCATCCTATCAGGGTTGGAGTGCTGCCTTCGGGCTTGCGAGGGGCCTCCCCTTGGCCACCTTCTCTCTCCATCTGGCCCTCCAGACGTGTGGCTGGCCGGATGCTCCCTTTTTCCGGAGAGGGTGCGGCGGTTCATGCCCTCAAGGCCACGCTGGGTTCCCACCTTTGGCTCACCTTTGTGCGCATAGTAGCAGGGGGCCAAGCGGTCCCGGGGGCTGTAGCAACATCCGAGCGCCTCGCACTCCGCCTGTGGGACGGTCCCAGACCCGCAAAGCAGCTTGTCGGCTGCCCGGACCCCCGAACACAGGCTGGGGCCGGGTTTGTCCAGGGCTGACGGGGAGAGAGAGAGAGAGGAAGGGGAAAAGCCCACGGAAGATCATTCGACAAGACCGATTCTTGGCCCACTCCTGGCCCAGAGTTTGGGGGGAAAGGAGGAGGCGATCCTGGACCACAATCCCCCCAAATCCTCTGTCTGCCACGGTCCTGCTAGTTTGACGCTTCTGGACGCTTCCCAATCTCTTGGTTTCTGAAGGTTCAAGAAGCTGAAGATAGAAGACCTGCCCCCAAAAGTCCTTATTCCGCTGGTGGGTTTTTCTTGACAGGTGTAATCCACCTGCTCAGGACCTTACAGGACATCCAAGAGTAACCCGAACCAGCACCGGCCTCCCCGTTCCCCAATTACCGGCGTCTCCCAGACCGGCAGAAAAGACCCACGTCCCCAGCGGCTGAAGAGCCACTAGGAGAGACGCCACGGTCGTCAAGCCGAACATAGTCGGGACAACATAATCCACCTTCCCCCTTCTTGCTTCAATGGGGGGAAGGAGGGAAGTGTGTGTGGGGTCACCTTAACCCCTGCTGCAACCTCACTCCTTTGTGATATCAGAGCCCTCCTTTATGCCGGAGTCTGAGTCATTTAAAACCACCTCCTTTAGCATCTGGGACTAGCCAGGAAGGTCTTTTCCATCCCAAGACAGAAAGTGGCGAGTCAGAAATCCACGCCGGGGCAGGTTGATCCGGCCAAACCAGACCGAGGCGTCTTGTGGCCATGAGTTCCGTACGCCCACGTCCAGCCACCAAGCGGCACACAGTCCAGCCGGAGGTCGAGAAGCTCCTTTCCAAATGGGCTTCATTCAAGGGGGGGTTCAGGGGGTGGACCTAAAAGCCTCCCAGGCCTCCTTGGTGCTTACCGAGAAGGGGTTCTGGGCACCTCAGCTCCTCTTTATAGGATGTCTTCCGTCCATCAGCTCCGGGGCCTTCGATCTGGACGGTCGTCCGGTAGCTCCCGCCCTAGACCGCGGTGGAAGGACCGTGGCTGACCCATCGGCAGCCAAGCTCCCATAATGCCTTCCCCCATGCAAAAAAGGGGGTCTTCTCACTTCGGATATAGGTCCTGGCAACCTGCCAATCACTTCTCACTGTGCCACCCCGCAGGGTTGTTGTCGAGAGCAGAGGAGCATGCCCTTTGGCTTCTCTCCTCAAAACCTTCCCACCTCCAGGAGTGCGGGGGGGGGAAGAGGTCATACCTGGGCTTTGACGTAACAGCCGCCCACAGCCGCTTTCACCACCATGGACCCGTCCGGATTGGGAGCGACCCACGTCCCGCAGGTGGAGTCATTCTTCAGGAGGTGTGGATCACCTCTGGGATCTTTTTTGGGGGGGAAGGGGGAACAGGGAAAAATCTGTGTCAAGTTGATTATGGATTTGTCCCCGGGCTTCAGCCTCAGGCGCTTTGCTTCGGCTTCTAGTCCTTAGGGTTCAGGGCAATCCTACAACCCTCCTGCCAGGGAGGAAGCCCTGGTAAACTCAGCCACGCTCTCTGTCCAAGGCAGGTCTTTTTAAAGGATCCCAGTCTTCAGACACGTCCAAACCTCCCATCATCATCTCTCTCAAGCGGGGGATAGTCGCAAAGCCCGATGAGAATTTTCGGAGCATAGAGACCGCTCCCCCATGGCGTTGCTGGAAAAAACCTCTTTTCCAAACTCCCACCGCTTGGATTAAAGTTTCTTGGACTACAAATCCCAGAATCCTCTTCTCGTACTATAAATCTTTCCCCCCTCGCTTGGATTAAAGTTTCTTGGACTACAAACCCCAGAATCCTCTTGTACTATAACTCTTCCCCCCCCCGCTTTGAAATGAAACTTTTCTTTGGGGGGGGAATCCAGTTGGGCTGTGGGGGGAGGACGGAGGGCAGTCACTGAGCATAATGAGTCAATTTTCCCATGTGGAAAAAAAACACACAATGCATAGGGCCCTGGCTATGGATGCGAAAGAAGCCACCACCTTTAGGATGAAAAGGAAGAAGTCTCAAAGAAGCAGGGCGAATCCTGGTTCTTCTTAACAGGATGTAGGATGATTAATGTTCTTCGCCACCCCCACCCCCCCGGAGGGCAGTCACTGAGCATAATGAGTCAATTTTCCCATGTGGAAAAAAAACACACAATGCATAGGGCCCTGGCTATGGATGCGAAAGAAGCCACCACCTTTAGGATGAAAAGGAAGAAGTCTCAAAGAAGCAGGGCGAATCCTGGTTCTTCTTAACAGGATGTAGGATGATTAATGTTCTTCGCCACCCCCACCCCCCACCCTGGTCTTAACAGGATGTAGGATGATTAATGTTCCTCGCCACCCACCCCTACCCTGGAGTTTCCCAACCTACCCAGCAATCTCACTGTGGATTTGGACGAGACCACTTTGGGCTCTGGGGTCAGGAGGAAATGGAGGCCGGTGTCCTCACAGCTGAGCAGAGATGCTTCCCAAAAAGGCCGGGAGGAAGAGGAGGAGGAGGAAGAGGAGCCGCCAAACCCCTGCAGCTGGACCCCCAGCATCACAAGGAGGAACCGCTGCATGCCCCTTGGAAAGGTGAAGCCAAACACTGGAGGGAAAGATGACTCCCTTCTTTTCCAGGACAAACACTCATCAGGCCCCTAGTCCTCAGGGTTTTTTTATTTATAGGCGGCCACAGAAAAGCAGATGGGGCTGCACCGACCTCCCTTAAACAGACAGAGGGCTTCTTTTCGGGAGAGCCCTTAAGAGGGAAGAGTTAGCCTCTGTTTGCAAGGGGAGTGAGCAGCTGGGGGGCCCTCCGGAGGCTCTGTCACTCCAGCTCCCATCATCCTTCTTCATGGGCTGTGCTGAATGGGGGGAATTCCTGTGAGCCAGTCTCTTTTGGATAAGGGGGGGCCTTAGGATTGAGGGGAGACACAGATTGGGCCAGGATCCGTGCCTGGCCCTCGTGGTGGCTTCCTTGAGAGTAAGCTCCATTCAGCCAGGTGGGGGGTTTACATCTGAATAATCTGGCACAGGATCACGTGGGGGCCACTGGGGAGAAGGCTTGGTTCAAGGTCTGTTTTGCAAAACCTTCCACAGGATCTCATCCTGCATCCATCTAATTTCCTTGATGGTTGTTAACCGTTATTGGGGTTGTGGTGCCTCTTAAAATTCACACCCTCTGCCAGAGAACTTCCTCCTTCTTTTAGCGTCTTCTGGAGCCAGCACTCTGTACATGCCCAGTTTCCTCTTTACAGTCACCCCCTTCCATCCTTTATTCATAGAGAAGGGCTTTTTTGGTGGCCACTCTACAAGTGCAGAGGCCTTTTCAAGTCGTCCTTCAGTTTCCTTCAGGGAAAGTACTCTGCACATGCCTTTATTTCCAAAATCTCCCCATTTTTTTAAAATACCCCTTGGATGATTCTGCTGGTTCTCAGAGAAGTTCCCCGTGTTATATTCTAGCTTTCTCTCTTTATTATTATTGTTTTGTCCAGCAGGGAAAGAAGGGGAGAAACGTGACTGCGCTTTGCACATGGTCAGGAAAACGCCCTTTCCGCCGACCCCCTACTATTCTTAGCTTCCTCGACCACGTGCTTCATCCAGGGAAGAGATGCGCGCATGCTCAATAGCGCCTCCTTCCTTCCCTCCTAACCAGAGCGCGGCAGGGCTGGCGCGATAGCCACGCCCTCTGCCCGCTTCCCTCCCTCCTCATTGGCCGACGGTGACGCGGTGGGGGCGTGGTCCGTTCGGGCGCGCCTTCAAAGTCCGGGCGGCGAGAGGGCGTGGCCAACGGACGCCTCGGAGGCGCCAACCAAGATGGCGGCTGCGGGAGGTGGCGGGAGCGTCGCGGGGACGGGGC